AAATTACACAGACACTACTGCTGTAGAAGAACAGGCTACACAGTGTGTTGAGATAATATAGATGGGAGATAATAAATCATATATGACAAATTATAATTTTTAAGATACAGTTAAAAGCAACACGTATCGATTATGTGTCTTAGTTGATCTTCAGGAGGTTGATACACATCTTATTTTATTGAGTTGACAACATTTTGAATGATGCCCTTAAGTGTATTAAGTTAAGTTTATTAACTACCTTGACTGTTGATTGGGGCTGCAACTAAAGATTGTTTTCATTACCGGTGAATCTGAAAATCATTTCTTCAATAAATTGTTACGTCTGCAAAAAGTCAGAAAATAGAGAAAAATGCTTGTTACAATTTTCTAAAGACCAAGGTTAGGTCTTTGTTTATTTCTTGTTTTGTTCCAACCGTACATTCAAAAACCAAGGATATTCATTTTACAATTATATAAAACAGAGAGAAGCAGAAAAGCCATACATTTGAAAAGCTGAAATCATTTGAGCACTACTATTAATTGTATGTTTTTTTATTTTACAGTAACAATTCCCACCGAGGATATTCAAGGATTGTTATATGCAAGTGAAGGCATACTGTAACTTTGTATCAGGTCATGTATCTGGTGTTGGGAGTCACAGGACTCGAATCTAAACGCTCTGCTGTTGCAGCAGCAGGATATATATTTGGGCCAGAATCCTGCACGAGGACCAAGGGAAACATTAAAGAGTTAAGAAATACAGGCGAGTCTTGAAAAGAGGACAGCTGGTCTTACTAGTAATAAGATAGCAGCCAGTCTGTTGATTGCATGGAAAACAGCTTGGCCCCTGGTAACATGCAACTGAGCTCAGTAACAGAAGTGCCTGTGGTGATGACATCATAGCTGGGTCCAGTGTCACCCAAGGGCCCCTGGATATAAACTTACAGACAGCTGAGGCCCCGGAGTTGTCAAGCAGTGTTGCCTAGGAGACGCTGTCAAACATCACCACATTTGAAGGACAACAAGAATCATATGACACCAGAGATAGTTTAATCTAGTTTAGCTTTTGTGCCTACTAAAAAAGTAAGAATGACACATTTACAGTAGTTAGAAAAAGATGCATGTGTCTATGAGGATTTATGTATGTATGCATAATACTATAATCCAGGAACTTTGTACAGATGGATAAACTAAATAACAGACCGCACATGGTTGTTACCATGCTAGCTGAAAGAAAGCTGTGCTGTTACACACTTAGAAAGATCCTCCAAATGGGCAATAACAGAAAGTTTATGTAATAGCTCTAATCATCATTAACTTGATTAATGTGCAATTTGAAAGTAACAAACCAGGCTGGAAAATGAGACAAAGACAGCAAGAATTCTAAAATGTGATTTTACTCCAACTGATTATTAATATTGCCTAATCTTGAACAGCTTGGACTGTACATTCTTCACTTCTGACAACTAGATGGGGGTGTTGGGAGTCTTATGGGGTAGTACTGCTCTAAGAGTTGCCTCAGAAGTCTTGCTTCAATCAAACAGGAACATCTTGTTGCATTTTAATGTCTTGTCTTAGTTTGTTTCCCATCGCTGAGAGCATTGCCAGCCTACATTTGCCAAAAATGTCAGCACTTTTACGGCGTGTGTTTGGGGATTCTCATAAAAGATTCAGTCTGAAGTCTGTTTGGACTGAATTAAACTACACAGAACCACTTAAACTTATTTGGACTGAACCTCTCTATCTTCCTGTGGCTGAATATTTTTCCTTCTGGTTTGGCTGCATGGAGCGCTACAGCAGAGAGGATTTGGAACAGCTAAAATAAGCCAAAACAACAACCACCTCCTCCACGAGAACATCTAAAACCACTCATAAATGTTGGAAGATGGGCTTCGGCACTGAGGAAGGAGGGGGAGTTATAATGTACAGTAAGAGAAGGAGGAGAGAGGAGAGGAGTTGTGGTGACGAGAAAGGAAAGGAAGAGGGGAGAAAGAGAACACTTTTGCTAAATAAAGCCCATATCGCAGGCTGAGAGAGATGAATGGTGCACGAAGATGACCATAATTTGAAATTTTACATGATGTGAGGGAGAAGCAGAAAAATATACACGGTTTCTCTTTCCTCTGCTCTCTTTCACTCTCAGTTGTGTAACAGTGCTTCTACCTCTGAGCTACACTGTCCTCACAAATCTCCTGCACTACTGTACCTTTTCAAACCTGTTATGGAAAATTCACAGCCACTGTGCAGCAAAATCCTCTGGATTCCTACTGAGCTGCTTCAGGGAAAGATTGGCCCTCTGAAGCATTTCCACTACAAAGCAAGACTACACAGGACGCTTCAGGATATTTCAGAATCACTCCTTTTCTTCCATTTATGAAGTTAATTTTCCTAGAGATTAGGATTATACTGTAGGATGGAGCAGAGAGGATAACGGATACAGGAGCATTAGAGACTTCACGCACTGATCTATCACACAAGGCCACAGTCTTTACTCTCTGAACCTTTTTGTTTCAGAATGCAAAATGAAGCAGTGTCCTGGTTGAGGGAGCTCATGTTCTGTCTGGCAGGTAAAAACTGTCTGAGAAGAGATGCTATTTCTCACTGTTGTTAGTGTGTTAACTGTACAATGTAGGTTTTAGAGGTTTCAATTGTACTGTCATACAATTTCTAATGCCCATGGAAAGTTTCAAGTAACAAGGATTAGGATCATTTTGTATTTATTTATTGAGCTGCTTCAGTTTCAGGGTTCTGGTATTGTGCATGCTGGCTGTCACACTGTCTTGGCTTACTGTGACACTGGAATAGAACAAAACCATCGTCTAACAGTGCTTTTCCTACTATAACAAATCAAAATATTTGAAAAACAGCTATATATGGCATGTTTGTAATTATGCTTAATAAACTCTTTAAAGCAGCCCCTGTTACCATTCTGAATGCATTACTCGTCATTTATCATTTTATTTATTGTCTATCCAGTGGGGAAACTGCAATTTTTTACATTCTGTTCTCACTGGATGTCTATTTATGACCAGTTTAAAGGGAATAAAACATGATTTTAATGGAAAAATATAAAGCATCCTCTCAACTCTCTTTCTCACTGAACCATTTCAAGCTTCATATTTTATCAGTCATGAGATACAGAGGCCCTGAGGAAAGTCAAGTTACTTTAGAAGAATGATATGACTTTCATTACCCAGTCACTCATATCTTCCGATATTCATCACGTTTTACTTTTTTTTTTTTACTTATCACAGTGTGGACTGGGCAATAAAGGGCTGTTTCACTGAGTTTCATCACACTCGGAGGCAGACGGCCGTTATGTGTGGTGAAAGGGAATTAATTCTTGAGTGAGAGGAAGGAGAGAGAAAATGAGAAAAAAAGCAAATTTAGAGAAAAACTGATGGACTAAAAGAGAGAAAACACAGCAACAGGGAGCGGGTGAGACATGGTGTGACAAAAGGCAATGGCAAGCTGCGAAATAGATGCTAATAATATGCAGATGATGCAAGTGATGAAATCTGCTGGTGAAGCAAAGAGTCTTGTCAGGAAGTAAAGAGTGCTGTGTCTGTGTCTGGAGTTTAGACAGAGTAGTTTTCTTAATATCACGCTTTGCTGGTGCTTAACACACACCCATGCACAGACGCACAAGCATATGCCCACACACACACACACACACACACACACACATACACAAAGAGATAAAGCATAAGTCGTGCTGATAAGCCATTGGATGGAAACAAAGTCAGCCACTGTAACAAGACACTGAGGGAATACAGAGCAGTGCTCAGAGACTCCAAGTGAAAGAGAATGAGAAAGATAAAGAGACTCAAGTGGGAGAGAGAGAATTACAGAGTGGAGAGAGACAGGCAGATGCCAAGACAGACAGGCAGGCAGGCAGAGACATAAATAAATATGAAAAGGGATGAATGAAAAGGCCTGAACTGAAAAATGAAAGATGGAAGAAAAAATATTTTATAGAGGAAAACAGTCACCCAAACTTTAAAACAGAATGAAAGAAGTAAGAAACAGAGATAATGAGTAGAAATGCTGAAATGACTGGAGTCTGCAGGAAAACAATGAGTTGAAAATGAAATAAAAGAGAGGGGATTTCCCTCATGAGTGTCACTCAGACTGCTGTGAGATGCACGCACACACACACACAC